AAAACAATAATTCTCCTCTATCCCGCGGGCGGATTTGAGTCACGGGACGGACAATGTGATACAATATACGAACGTCTGATTGAAATTGGTAGCCGCGCCGTCGCTCGAAGCCTAGGTAATCGCGATTTTCGCGTCTCTCGTTCGAGAGTTGCTTAGTGAGCAGCCCGGCCGTGATGCGACGACACGCTCGAGCCTTTCGCTGACGTTCGACGCCCGAGACAGGAACACGCTTCTTCCTCATATTAATCTAAGCTTGTTGAGCCCGCTTCTTATCCATAACGGATTTTTCCGCGTTTTTTGCCGTGGCCCCGCGCAACACACAGGCGCATTATCCCCCTAACGTGCTTCGTTCACCGCCGCGATTATCCTCCCGGCGAACGGTAAATCCCTTTCCGACGGACGATGGGCGGCCGTCAGACGTCGACTCTGGAAAACGACGCGTTCGCGTCTCTTCTCTCTCTCTCTCTCTCTTTTCCTCTCCTCTGTGTACGCGTGTAACGATAACCTTATCGTTGACTGTATCGATTCGCGGCATCGACGCGCGATATCATTTTTAGATTGCCGAGGTGGAGAAATTCTCGGAGGAACGGTAGAATGCTGCTTTATCCTCGTGCGCGTTTTCGCGAAAGAATTTTTCAAATCCTCGAAATTGTCATCCCGTCGTTTGAGACAATTTTACAATACGTGTTTCTCCCGAGTTCTCGCTCTGTGCGTGCTCTTATTTCGACACACAAACGTTCTTTTGCTGAAATATTCGCTTTGTTGTTACTCGCATACGCGAGTCGGAGAGAGAAAATAAACGCGAGCAACGCTTCTTCATTCAGTCTTTGTTTCATTCCACCGCGCAAGTTTTCTCTATTGTCATATCTTCTTCCTTTCGTTATCTCTGTAAAATCGAATTTTAAATGCAAGCCCGCGTGTGTTGATCGCGATGACGTGTGCTTGAATTCGCAATGAGTTCACTGGGTTTCCAAGCTTTGCAGGACTCGCGCTCGCTCGCAAGTCGAGCGTGGCGAAGCGCGCGCGCGCGGCTCTTTCGCTTCTCCTCTCGGGAGCTTTCGTTCGAAACGGAAATGGGTAGTCTGCAATTATTGCAGCCGTTGGCTTTCCCGTCTGCTGCGGCCGCCGCAAGTGCATAACCGCCACCGGTCGATTAACCGCGACCTTCGCCGCTGCGCAACATTGATGCAAATAGACGACATATCCGCAACGGGGATTACGTGCCCGCCTCGGATCCTCGTATGCATATACAACGACGTGCGATCTCGCTTTCCTCTGCCTTTCCCCGCCACGAGGCTGTGTGATGGGCGCGCTTTAGGTTTGGAGATAATTGTTTTTGAGGTTACTTCGTTCGCGCGGAATTGCAAAATAAGGAAGAACTACCAGGATTCCCTCACAGGAAATGAAAATTGATGTAAAATTTAATTAAACTGTAAATTGGCGTGTTGTCTTGTTTTTTTTTTTTTTTTTCTACGTATTTCTAAGATTAGTTTGCAGCAGTTGGATGCTTTGTAGCTCATCGCGCGGAATTCGTCCCGAGAAAGATCGACACACGAAAGAACGTTTGCGCGGAATAGTTGCACGCTCCACTTGCGTCATCGCGCAATTTCGCGATCTCCTCGCGGCGAGGAGGATTTTAGCACGCAGCAGCGCGGCTTAATTATTAACGAAACATAATCCCGTAATCGATCGTTATTAATTACCGCGGCGCTTTCACCGGGATGACCTTTATAATCGGCCGTAATAAACCTTTCAGTGTAATTAATCATTGTCGTTGCGGGGAAAAATGTAATTAGACCCGCGAGTATATGCGATACACTTGGTATTTTTTTTTTTTCCCCCTCAGTATTTTCTGAGCTGTGGCGAAACCGTTTAACCGTTGAAGTATCAGATTACATCTTTGTTGTGGCTGTTCTATGTGCTTACGTATTGCGACGAAGATGACTTACATATTTTTTGTTCTTTTAATGACGTACGGTTAAAAAGGACATCTTATATTATGTACGAGTATATTAAACTACGTTTATACAAGATGGGGCGGGGAGTTCGTTAAAATTCATTAAAAATCAAAACAGCTTTCGAGGAACGGCGATGACGATACGCGGGTCTCTCGCATCTTCGGTAACAGGATCTCGGACTCGAATCGATCCCGAGCGCAGATACCGCGGGCGATGCATACTCGCCGGATCGTTCGACGATGCGTGAGTCGTGGCAAAAATTCGCAAAACCCCGTCTGGGGCGTCTCGTGAGACTCGCACCGCACGAGAAGACGCGAGAACACAAAGGGATGCGCTCGCAAACGAGTTTCCGCGGCCAATTATAAATTACCTCGAATTAAATCGAGGCGATCGCCGTTCTGTTGCGCGCGCCATCGCCACGTCGCGTCGGACCTTGGCGAAAAGTTCGCGTTTTTTTACGATCGCGTATGCGCGAAATCTTTTACGGCGACGCGCGTAATTGCAACGTGGCGAGGGGAGTGATAAACAACGCTCGCGCTGCCCCGCGCACTGCGACTGCATTGTAAGACAGGGCGGGTTGTGGCTGGTCTGGCTGGGCTGGCTTGACTTCCCTTGCTCGGTTTTCGCCTGCCCGCCCGCCCGCTCGCTCGCGATGTTGGATTTATCGGCATGCTTAATTGCCGCCCGAGACGAAACTCGGGGCCTCGAAACACGGGCCCACATACCTTTTGTCGTGCTTTTTCTGACGCGTCGAAGTTGTCCGGCATGCCCTTGCCCAGTGCCGGCGCGCCGAGGCATCCGAAACCCTCTTTGCGACTTGTAAGTGAAGAAGACTATTCGCGAAGTGATCAGAAAATTCACGTTTTTATTTATTTATTTATTTATTTATTTTATTTATTTACTTAGAAAAAGACTAGATAATCTTTTAATATTGTTTTAAAATCACTATCTGAAAAAATAAATATCGTGTGTAAATTTTCTTTATCCTTCGCTGAGAATGTTTTATTTTTTCAGTAACGTCTCATTACTCTTTATAATTTGTTTTTTCGCGCTTATTTTTTCACCTTTCGTTTCTTTATTATTACATTGATCTTTTCATAAGACATATCGAAGTAACGTCGCCGACACTGGTCGCGTCTCTCTTTCAACATTTGCCGTTCGCGCGCGCGCACGTTGAAGAATTACGAGCCTTCAGACTGATTATTAAGTCCCGAAGATTTAAGGCGGTGCTTTAAATACTTGGGCAGTAACATTGAACGAAATTCATTCCGTAATAAAAGAGCGTGCCGATATCGTCGTCCCGCTCTTTGCGTGGTACCAGCTTCTTGAGAGGGTGTTAACCTACTAAGTGGAAGATTGTTGGTTTTTTTATTCGAAGTTGCATGTGTCTGAAGGTGATCGCAATTATATTTTCCGGTTTTGAGTGTTATGATGGTTTTGGCAAAATTTATGGCTGTTTTTATGATGACGAATCACAAGAGATTGTGAAACGTCTCCGATCTGGTAAACACCGGTGAATGACACAATAAACATGAGATAATAAAAGCAAATTGTGATATATATATATATATATAATATTGGTAAATAAACAAAAAAATTATATATGATCATATATGATAATTATATATGATCATTAAAAATAAAAAATAATTTATATATCGAGTGACTAAAAACAGTCGCTGACTTACGCGTCATTATGAAAAAAAAGGCGTCGAATAACTTCAAAATCAAATTGTTCAACATATTGCATTTAATAATCCTGTATATTTATCCACACGTGTATCACGCAAAGACGTTTTTCTTTTCTCTCGAGAACGATTCTCTCTTTATCTATTCTTGCGTGCATTATGGATTTCCCGCGTGTTGCGGGAACCGAAGAAGTAAACTTTAATGAGCGTGATAAATTACAGGTGTACAAATATAACGATCGCGGACTTAATATCGATACACTGTTTTCTAAACCGGTATATACGCGGCGATGCGATGCGGGGAATCGGCGGCGGTGGATATATATATATATATACATATATATATATGTATATATATATATATATATATATATGTATATACATCGACGGTGCGCATTCTGCAGCGCCAATTTGCATGACCGATGATCGGAGGGGGCTACTATGCGCCAGCGACTAGGTGCATCATCATTACGCACTACCGAGATACGATCAAACTGTCGGTAATAACAGTCGCACGACTCCGCGCGCGCATACACGGGAGTGCAGGGTCGCGTTTATTAAATTACGTCAAATTATTGGTACGCGCGTCCCGCGGTATCCGGCTGAAGGCCTAAACATAGAACGTAGCCGAGGCCTCTCCGCCGCGGTTGTTTAACAGTGAGCAATCACGCTACTTTCCCAATTAGGCCGCTAATTTTAACGTAGAGCGTGTAATTGCACTCCCCGCCTTGAGCGCGGCTACGCGCGCGAAGGGGCGCGGAGCCGAATTCTCCCCTCGCGGTAATACGTTCAGCGCGGCTTCCCGGATCCGCTTTAATCGTCGGGCAATGGCTCGATGCACGTGTGCGATACGGAATTAAGTCGCGGTAATTAAGTTATCTCGTTTGTGTTTCAATTATAAAAATTGCCGTTTCTCCTCGCGGAGAGCTTCCCTAGAGTTCTTCTTACGATCGTTTTACGCTTTACCGTGCGCGTTACACGAATCAAGTATACACACGCACGCACACACAAAGTCGACGAAGTTGTTCGTCGGCGGTTTTCACCGTGAAACAAATTCAGGATGCCCAAAGCGTTATCGCCGAAGCGTGACACTTCCACTTACATAGATATGCAATAACGACGTTATAAATACCGGAATATAATTTCCACTTTATAAATTGGTTAATGTCGCGCGTATATCACGTTTTTATTACCGCGAGCGCGATAACTGTTTATTATTGCGCCAGCGAGCGGAAAGAGTGTAGTACACGCAGTCCGTAAAGTGTCACGTGGAATTTTCCACGATGCCGCGTGCGCGAAACGCGACTACACGTCTGTCTAAAATAACGTGCGCTTTATTTTTTGCTTGTTGCAGATTCGACCGACGAAGGGCTGAAGAAGGCAAGAGAGCGGTTTCGGATGAGAAGCTGTGGATCTCCGACGTCGTTTGACTAATCAAAAGAATTTCGCAACAGGCTCAAGGGAGCTCAATAAAGAGGGACATCATCGATGAAGGATGCGCGAGAATGTTTTTACACGCTAGCAAACTCTCCGCTATTCTTTTCCAAGCGCTAATTAAATCGCAGTCGCGAAAGCCATTCAAACTCGTCGTCCGATATGTACACACACGTACACACACATAAAGGTACACACGTACAGGGATAAAATACACGTACACGACATAGGATCCAAAAAAAAGCCTGATCAACGCTGCGTACTTCCTGTGATCGTCGATTAACGATAAGCGGAAATAATCAAAAATAGCGACGCAGCGGAAGAGGAATACGTTTTGTGCGAACAAAGACGCGCGAATTACTGTAACGCGATGTGCTCTGATAGAGAAAAGCGGAGTTCTCTGTTCTAGGAAAAGCAGCAGATATCGATAGACGAAGAGAAAAAACAGGATCCGAAAAAGAACGAGGTTTAATCTATTGCAGTGTATTAAAAAAAAAAAAAGTAGTCACTTAAATACAATTGCTTGAAAAATTCAGTCGAAACTCAGCACGGTTACATTTACAACAAATTATATATATATATATATAATTTACACGATTTTCAATGTCATCCGCTTCGTCTCGTTATAAATTTTAAAGAGAAAAGTACATTTTCGCTACTTGACACTAATTAGTAAACAAAAAGTTATTACATATATAATATATATCGCACAAATACATTTTACGGTAAACAATATAAACAAATTTAATATTTGTAGTACTATCGATATTTTCTGAGCTTTAATAAATGACACACACAAAGAAATTAAAAAAAAAAGCTACTAATTATTTTCTCTATCAGTTGCGGATAAGAGTCGGAAGAAGGTCGGAATTTCGCAATGCCGTAATCGCGCATTTAAAAAAAAAAAAAAAAAAAAAAGCACCACACGACTTGCGCACACGCGCAAATCACGACACGAGTAGATTCTTCTTGTAAAGAAACGCACCGTCGGGAAAGAGGCAAAAGAAGAGGATAAGTGCGAATTTTTTTCTGGAGTCTGGCGGATCGCGTAAGATAAGGATACGATTGCCATAATAATGACCAAGTTCTTGTGGTTGTACTTAAGTCATACCTTTATACTCTATTTTATACTTGTTAGGATGCTAAGCGTAAGTTACTTCCATATTCTATTATCAAAGTGTCTATCACAGTTCTATCGCTACGTTTTACTACGATGTCACGTCGTCGAGTTGACTGCGCGGCCCGATCATCGGAAATCGACGCGCGAGCCACGTGAACTTTGTAATATTATCTCTACTCCCCTTGCACTTGTGATCGTACACCGTGATTTTAAGACGATAAACTAAGCGCTCTCACACCGATATAATCGGCATTCTATAGCTATAACAAGGAAAACCGCAATCATTTTTAGTCAATAGAAAAAAATACAACTACCCGATTGACAAAATTCAAACTCAATGATGAAACGTGTTTCTGTTTAAAATATTATTATACTATGATAAAACTTCTAAATTCCCAATTTTTGTAGCACTGCACAGTAATAATAAATTTTGGACGAAATCCTCTGGTGACATACAAAATTGTTTTATATAAATTGTGTGTACTTTCGCGTCAATGTTTAAAGAAGCCATCGACAAATATCGTATCCGCGCGACATTTGCAGCAGTTACGATATAACGAATAAATTCTCATCAGAAAGTCAGGCGCGAGACCGCCTTTCGGATGATGGTCCCGACCAAAGGACGTGTTTGGACCTTGGTCTCATTTTTGTGATTATTGTTTAAATACACGTTAAGCAAACAATAGACTATAGGTTAGACTTGTTGTAATTGATTACGGGAACAGTTAAGGCCTGGTTGGCCTTACACGCACGCACACGCACACACGCAGAGACGATATTATTTCCCACATTCAATACCGGAAGAAGAGCGCAATACACAAGTTCTGAAAATTGTTAGAGAAAACAAGAACCGATAATTATCTGTTTTCGCGAAATTTCTAGCAATAAACGTTTTTGCAAAAAAACAAAGAAAGAAAAATAAATAAACATTGGTAACAAGTGGCCTTTCCTTAAAAAAAAAAAAAAAAAGAACTTATAAGCTGTACGAGAATGTTGAACGCAACCAGAATACGTTCGTTACATTGAAGAGAACTAGCTATATTTTGCGAGTGTACAATATAAGTTTCTAGATTTACTGTACGAAGTATAGATTCTATTATCATGAATATTATATCGCGTAATGAATTTTGTATGGAAGGCACTCGGTCCCCTTTACGGCGGAACTCTGTATGTTATAAGCGTGTGCCGGAGCGAACGCGCTTATTTCGTATGCTGATGTTCTCGGAGAGTGTAATTTTGCCATGATGACGAATGTCGAAAACAAAAACAGAAAAAACGATAAATACAAATAAAGAGAAGCTCTCTCAAGAAAAAAGCCTGTGAACTGAGATATCACGCGTTTGCCAGAATGATTTTTCCGGGAACATTGAACGTCAATGGATCTCGAAGCGAGCGATCAGCAGAAATCTGATCGGTTTTTAGCCCGGGCTCTTAGAGATTGCGCTGTGAAACAGCGGAAGACGCGAAGGCTGAAACGTACGTAGATCTGCGACGCGACCGCGCCGATATCGAATTCATCGATATCACTACAACATCGTCGGTCACGTTCTCGCGGCGAAATACTCAGCGCGTAAGGGTCGAGGATCGTTGTGCCTTCGCTGTATGCACGTTATAAAGTACGTTCTAATGATTGTAAGAGACGGGCAGACATCCACACTTTGTGATTCTATTAAGCAGTTGTTCAGTTTTTTTTTTTTTTATACTTTCTTTAATGTGCTTACCTAGGATAGCTTGTGTACCCTAAAGAGTGTTTCAATAAAAATCACAGTGAAATAAACTGGTGCGTAATTTTCTTTCTCTCTTCGATTTAGTAAACCTACCAGAAAAAGCGTATGTAAATAATCACAATCAATTCTATCGATCTTGATTATTACCGCTTTTATCTCGACGCTGATTGGACGTTTCTCGGATATGTGTTTCTCGATTTATGTCGTACGAATCAAGAAACACGAGTACTGCCTCGCGCCGTTCGAGCACGACTTCGTTGCGCGTGTCTTTAAAAACGTAACTAAAAGATAAGGTCACGTGACAGGGAGGAATGGAAAAACAACACGTGAAAATAACATGACTGTAATTTATATTATATATAACATTAAATAATACATATTATACATATAATTTGTTATATATTTATAATATTATACTTTATATTGTATTATATGTATTATATACATACTACAGTAATGTCACTGACCTCCGCCGCGCGACTTTGGCGGGGTCAATGACCTCGGCCGCGCGGCCTTGGCGAGGTCATTGACCTCGGCCGCGCGGCCTTGGCGGGGCACTGACCTCGGCCGCGCGGCCTTGGTGGGGGGGATCAATGACCTCGGTCGCGCGACTGCGGTGGAGTCACTGACCTCGGCCGCGCGACCGCGGCGGTGTTACTGACTTCGGTCACGTGATTACGGTATATATATATATATATATATATATACATATATGCGTATGTGTGTGTATTATATATAGATATAGAATATTACATATAATATATATAATATTCTCTTTTTTACTTTTTTCCTTGTCACGTTACTTTAGTCACGTGTTGTTTTTCCACTACTCTCTCTCACTATTTTTTGAGTTTGATTTTCATGCGTTATTTCTGACATTTCTCATATGTGTATTAAATGGTTTATAAGACGTATATACTATATGTGTCATCGCGGTGACAGGTTGTGTTCACTGACAACACGTTAAATAAAAATATCAATAGCGTGCGCGTAGCGCGCGCCTGTGTTGTGCTAGTATATGATAAAAAAATCGCATTGTCGTTAGGTATTGTAAAATACTCTAATTTACTTTTTATGCGTGGGTAATTACAAGGAGGGGAGGGTTTCACGCAAAGAACAAAACAGCGGATAACATGGTTTATTACTTTTTTATATTCAAGGTATCGAATGAATGTGTGTTACAAGCAATAATATAATCAAAGATAATGAATGAAAAGCGATGAAACTAAAGTCAAATATTACACCTCTTTCGTTTTTTTTTTTTTTTTTTTTTTTTTTTTTGTATATTGGTCACATTATCTCTCTCATCCTCGAATGATTGATTTTTTTCGCAACTTTTTTTCTCTTTTCTTATTTTTTTGTTTTAATTTTTTTTTTTTTTCGTAATAATTTGTACTTCTCTTGGCGCAATCTCTTGGCTCACCAACTTTTTCCAAGGAACCAGTCGATTGCTTTCCAACGTCGACAGATTTGCGAGGTTTATTATACTTTATCGTATAACGATAATGATATTCAGGAACGATGCCACTTGATTCATAAGATTGTGAGAAAATACGGTCCGCGGGAGAGATCACGTTTGTCGGACTTGAACCAATGTGTAGTTTTGTTTTTGTTTTTTGTTTTTTTATACGTCTATATATATATATATATATATATATAGTCGAATAAATGCTTTGGCAGACACACACACACGCTCCCCGAGTTGTAAAAAAATATTATATATCAAGCCAAATTGACTGAATGCTAAAAGTTCTCTTACGGATGAAAGAAAACGAGATGAGAGGAAGAATTGCATCAAACAAACGTCGATCTCCCACGTGGTGTTGTCGAATACACGCGAATTAAAAACATATATGTATATACGTATGTATGTGTCCACGTGGTGTATATATATATACACATATATATATATATATATACATATTTACCACGTAAACTAACAACAGAAACACATGAATCAGGCCGCATCGTTGCGAGATAACGACGGCAAGCAATCGTTTGCCATCGCTATGTGTGTTGTGTTATTCCGCTTAATAAAATCTTGTTGATTAAAATAACGAAACGCTATTCATAATAACTTCTCTAATTAACGATTATTTGGTAATATACAAAGTAGTAGAAAAGAGGGAAAAGCAAGTCCGTCTCCTATTCTCGTAGAATTTTTTTTCCTTCGTAAATACAAAAACGTAACGCGTAGTATCTAAAAAGTATCCCACGTGTTCCAGGACGTCCCGAGGATCGTTTTTGAATCGCGCGAAAAAGTCCTACTTCGATATTTAGTCGAATATTTGTCAGTCAAAATGAATTTTTGTGCGCTTTCACAGTGTGGAAAAAAGAGAAAAAACGTTGTCTCTCACTTTCACCACATTGCGCACAAAAAGTAAAATCCGTGAGAAAATCCGCTTTTTTAATTACACGTCTGTGGATCTCATATGCGTTATGAAACGAAATTTTTATTTCCTTTTGCGTGAAAATTTGCATGCGCCAGAATGAGCTTGAGAGAAACGCGGAAAACGCGTTCTCGTAACTTTCGAGCGAATCGGCCGAAATCATCGCGAATCACGGAAACTTGTCCGCGCGATCGTCGCCGTCATCGTCGTCGTGGAACTCGCGTTTCATTGTTTTTTTTTTTTTTTTTTTTTTTTTTTTTTGTTTAATCGTGATACCGTAAATACTCTTCCTTCTTATGTAATGTATCGTTATAATGTTCGTGTATAACAATAAAGCAATATGCAAATGGTATTTGAAGACTTCTCGTTT